TATATACGCAGAATTCTTTCAGAGACAAACGAATTAACTCGCATATAAAACAAAGCTCCCTTCAAAAAATGAGGCAAGAGCAACAAAAGAAGTTACAAAGTTCTATTTAAACGAAATAATGGAATGGACTTCAGCCAATTAAATCTTTAATTTCCCTCCCCTAAATCGTGACCTTCAATCTTCAATCTGTTTAGTAGGAAGAAAGTGTGTGGGGGTGGAGTTGGAGTGGATGGGTGGGGGTGCGTGTGAGAGAGTTGGGGAGAGAGCGGGGGAGAGAGGGGGAAAGGAAGAGAGAGAGAGAGAGAGAGAGAGAGAGAGAGAGAGAGAGAGAGAGAGAGAGAGAGAGAGGTGGAACCCTTGACCGTCTATAATGTTCAATAGTGAGAAGAAAGAACGAAACATTATATGGTGATACTCTACAGTGCCCTCAACCGCCATCCCCTAAAGGGGTAAGGGGGGGGGGGGGGTTGCTTTTCTACTAGGCAGTGGTGAACTCATTGGTCCTTCGATAATCTCTTTCAAAAAAAGATTAACGAATCAAATACATCTGCGGGTATTTCGTTTTATTGCCTTATTTTTCAGCTGCTTATTTTCTTCCCCTCGGTCTATTTCAGCGATCTTAAAGAGTACAGTGACTTTTTCTAATGAGTCATTTTGCTCTTCACGATGTCATGAATTTGTTACTGTTTCTTACTCTGTTTGTGTGTGCGTGTGTGTGTGTTTGTGTGTGTGTATTCATATAATTTACTTTTCACGACAGTGGCCTTTTTCTCACAGCTGTTCCCATACTTCCTTGTATTTATTTTGAGAAATCGTATTTCTCACTGTTCAGTTAATATTTGATTGTGGGGATGTGTTTGAATGCCTTGCCATGTATTCTGCTTTTAAGAGCTACTACTGACTGTGATATGTTTGTACTTTTGGCAACTGACATTAAACAAAAGCTTAAGGTATTTCTCTGAAAAAAACCAGCCTTTCTCTCACCTCCCACCCACCCACCTCTGAAGTAAGTTTTTCAATAAAACATAAGCCTGTGCACATAGTGTTATAGGAATTTTATGGATCCACTATCCCTTGGTGCCAAGTTTATTATATGGCTTTCTGTTAACTTGATCAGTAAGACACTGAAAAATTTGGGCAATAGCGTGTATGTTGAGAGAGAGAGAAAGAGAAAGAGAGAGAGGGGGGGAGGGGGGGGAGATTAAAAGAGG